GGCGGTTTTCCGCGCGCCCGCGCCACCGCGCGCGCAGAAGGGGGGGGACGCGACGGGCGCACGGTCCGCTGCTGTCGGAGGGTCAGCGAACGGCCTGCCGCGCCGCAAGGAAACCCTCGGACAAACGGAAGAGGAGGCGGAAGAAGGCGGAAGAGGAGGAGGAGGAGGAGGAGGAGGAAAAAGGAGACTAAAATGTAAAGCGGCAAGGAAAAATTGTACGGTTTTCTCAGGATGCAAAGCGATGTACAGCGGTAAGATGGCAGCATAGCGGGCACGCTAGGTTGCAGAAGAAATTGCAGCGGAACGCACCCTGCCTGCGCTGACTGACATGCTCATAGGAGGGGTGACCTACCTTTTCGAATCTTTTTTGTCAAACAAGTCGGCCGCGCCTCGTTGGCAGCCCAGACGCAAGCCGCCCAGACCATCACCGAGACCCGACAGACTGGCCACACTGAGTAATTAGTGCCGAACAGGGCAAGGAAGGGGTTATACTTACAACCCCTTGTCTTTAATATAAACATGCACTGTGTGAGGACCGTCTGATAACCAGGCCCCTCGTAAAAAATGGCGGTCACGCACGACCGGACAGAAAAGGCGGGCAGCAGACTACTGGCGGAGCGCAGAAGAGACTATTCGTCAACGCGGAACGGCCAGTGCCCCACGAACCTAGTTCATGGAAAGAGTCACTCACATGGATCACTACGTCGCATAAGCAAACACATCTCGAGCCATGCGAGTCTCTCCGTACTTCTCTCCCTGATGTACTGCATCGCATTCGCGAACACAGCTCGCGAAATTCGACTCGGTCGGCGCATGCGCGAACACAGCTCGAACGTGCGACGCCGAGTGAATCGCCCGTCGTCGTTGTCCTTGCTGGGCATGCTGCAATTGGAGCTCGGCACCGCCTTCTTGCGACGCCCCTCACTCAATCGCACCGCGGGGCGCACGTAGACGGGCCCCCCGTCCACGACGTCGAAGATGAGCTCTCGGCCGGCGCCCCCCTTCGTCATGGGGCCGGCCTTCATGTCGCGGGCGTCGCGCAACAGCATATCGGATGGCTATTTGGCGCGCAGCTGGTCTGCTGGCCACCGCGCGCGGCCTGCCGCGCCAGTCTCTGACGGCGGCCGCGCGTGGCCCGGCCCATGGCCAGCGCGGAGAAGACGGACATGCCGCCCACGACCAGCGCGGCCGCCTCAGAGCCCCCCCCCCCCCCAGCTTCCCGATCTAACCTGCTCAGGCGGGCCCGAACGCCATCTCGCGGAGCGCATGAAGGCACGCCTGTAAACAGTCTGGCGCTTGTCATGCCGCGAGCAGCTCGGAGCCGAATGAGGATCTACACAAGTTTGTGCGATCGGCTTGCAGCGTCGAGCAAGTGGCAAATTTTACCAGCACTGCGGCACTTGCCCAGGCGCATGCACGCGGCGACACCCATGCCGCATCAAGCCCCCTCCTCCTCGCGCTCGAAGGAGCCGTCGCTGCGCGCGCAAATCTGGCCCTCGCGCTCCATCGCCAGGAAAACGACGCGCTCTTTGATCTTCTGCAACGCCAGAATTTCGGACCAGAGCTGCACACTGCGCCCGGTGAGCCGCTCGTTCTCGGCCCGCTGCAGCGCGACGACGCAGGCTGCAACGCGGCGCGGCGCGAGCGGCGCACGGGCAGCTGCTCCGAGGCGGGAGACAAGGAGGTCTGCGAGTGGACTTCCTGCCAGCTCATCCACATTCGACTTGACAGGGTCGACGCGATGGGGATCAGCGCGTCGCCGCGCTCGCCCTGGTCGAGCGCCACTGCGCCATCGCCACTGCGGTGTTAGCGGGCACCACAATTGGCGACGCCACCGCAATCGCATTCCAAGTGGCCGAAAACGCTCTCGACATGGCCGATGAGTCGGCCGACGTGCTCGCTGCGCCCTGCGATCTTGAGATCGACGACGGGCTTGGACAGCACGGGCACTAACACTGAGACGCCGGCGCCACTGGTGCCGGACGCCTCGCGCTTGACCTCAAGCCCCGGGCCCCGCCGCGTAGGCTCGGCGCCGCGCCCGGGCGATCGCGCGACCCGGGCGAGCTCCATGGAAAAAGCCCTGGACGCATCCTCGCAGCGAGGGCCCCCGGCTCGACGCGGCGCAGGCACTCGGCCCGCTCGTCGAAGACCTCGCAGCCTCTGACCTGCCTGAGGACGGCCGCACTGCCGGGCGGCAGGGTGAAAATCACCTCTCTTGGTGCTTCGCCCTGCCCCTGCATCTTGGCGCAGGCCACGCCTGCAGGAGCGCCCCCCCGACGCCCACGGCGACGCACGCCCTGTCCCGGCGACGCGCCACCACTGAGAACAGGATGCACTGAGACGCCAGCTTCGCCGACCCTGCAAACGTCTCCAGCGCCCCGGCGCCCGCGTCACGGAAGCCCCTCAGCGCCGCGCGGCACCGGGTGACCCCGTCGGTTTTGCCGCCCGACCCCTCCTCACGATTCCATTTGAACACGCACCTGGGACCCATGACGCCCCGAGCGCCCTGAAGAGGGCGTCGCTCGAAACTCTTGCACCTGACACAGATGTCGAGCTCCTGGACGGCGGCGGCGGCCACCTCCTGGGTCAGCCTCGACACCCCCTCTTTGGTCAGGCGATCGGCGTCGCGCTTGGCCACCGCGGCCTGGACGGCGGCGTAGACCTCAGGCGTGGCTGCGGCGGGCCCGCCGGCAACATAGTTGCCCTCGTGGCAGCTCGGAAATGCTTCCCGCACCTCTAGGTCCAAGCATAACTCCACGCGTTGCCCCCCTTCGTCGCCCCAATCATGCTCGGCGCAAATGGCGCCGCGCCGGTACTTTCGACGCCGCGCATGGATGCGCTGACGTTGGCAATGAGTCTCGAGCTGCCGGGGCCACCCACGCGGTCCGCGGCCTATGCTGGCGGCCGCGTGCTCGACAGCAGCGCGGGCCATCTGCTGGCTGTCGTGGCCCTCAAGCTCCTGCAGACCCTGAATCAGATCCTCAGCGCCCCACCTCCTGCCAAGCTGCCAACAACACCTGTCGGGCGTGGCCAGACAAGTCGCCGTTGGCGTCTTCGGGCATCGCCGACAGGTCTGACGGTGAACCGCCCTCGGCGACGCTAGCGGCGCCCTCAGGGACGTCGATGACAAAGTCATCGAACGCCCCGCCCAGGCTCTGCCTGCGAGCACCCCCCCACTGCTCGCCGACGAGGCCGCGGGCGTCGAACCCGACGCCGCCCAGGCTCAGCTGGCGGACGTCGCTCGGGCTCTGAGGGAACTACCCGATGAGCAGACTGCGGTTGCAGCCCGGCCTGACCGCGCACGAGACGCACGGCACGAAAACAAGGTAGCTGGAAGGATGCGCGGGACAAGTGGCGCAAAACGTCAAGGACATCAGGGCGTCGCCGAGCCTGTTCGGTCAGCAACGCGCCCCCTTCGCCCGCCCAGTGGCCGGACGCCCTGGCCCCTGAGCCTGGCGCGACGCGCTCGAGGAAGTTCTCCGCGCGATCCCAGGCCTAGCCTGGCGCCCAAGTCGTTGAAGACGACGCTCGGCGCTGCCGCGCCCGACCGCAACCTCGCGTCTGGCTTGGCCCGCAGAGGGGCAGTACCAGGACCTGCCCAGCCTGGCGCGTTTTCGCGCTTGGCTGGTGGACCTCCACGCGATCGCCCACGCCGGCGCGCCCCCCGCTGGTCTCGGCGGCGCGCGTCCGAAGGGCGCGGCTGACGCCGGCGATCGAGGTAGCCTCGGTCGCGCCCTGCACGGCGACATCGCGGACGCGCCGCTGCCGTCGGCCGGGTTGCAGCTGACTGGCCCGGCCCCGTGGACACAGACGCCCTCGCCCTCCTCGCCTGCTTTGAACGGCGGGCGGCGTCGCGGAAGGCTACCCGTCGAAAACGACGTCGCACTGCGCGGCGCCGCCCGCGGGCGAGGCCGTTGCCCGGGAACGCGGCGCGGGCCAGCATGGAGCCGAAGTCGGCGGCGACGCCTTCGCGCTCCAGCTGCCCCTCGGCGGCGCGCGGCGCGCGGCGCGGCACTGCGCCACGTCGCTCTATGAAACAAGCGCGCTGGCGCGGGGCGCGGATGCCCACCCGGGCCCCCCCCCCCCCCCCTCATCTCCACCACGAAGTACTTGAAGGTCGCCCCGCCTTCGCCGCCCACGACGCCGGTCTCCATTGATCCAGGCAGCTGGATCCCTGACTTGCCGACCGCTGCCAACAACGTCGAGTCGCATCTATCCGCAAAATCCCGGCCGTCGCGCCGCCATGACGCGCAGTGGATCAGGCGCAGTACCGCGCGACCCTCGCAGCAGAGGACGTCGCATTCAAAGCGCCGGCGCGTCGAAGGGCGCAGAGGGGAAAGGGTTCGGCGCGCCGAACGGCACCCCCGACAATTGTCGACCACTGCGGGGGCGAGGTCAAGGATTGCCTGCGGCGAGTTGGCTGCGCGCAGCACTCATGCCCCACCCCCCTTAGTGGCGCCCCACCACTGGAGACGCAGCCCGCGCAACTCTCGAACGCGCGTCTCGCGCAAGTCGCCGCGCAGTGCTCGCGGCGACGTGGCGATATCGAAACGACCCTAGTCTGAGGGGGTTGGGTTGCCAACAGCAACATCGGCAGCTCGCGGCGCTGCAAACCTCGGCGCTGCGCCCGCTGCTGGACTGGCTCGCGGTCGCGGACCGGCATCGCAGTTGCCGGGTCCACTGCCCGAAGCCCCAGGAACGGAGGATGAGCTGGCTCCTTGTGCACTGGGCGGCGCCGGCGGCAGCGCTGCCTCGTCTGCCGCTCCGAGATCGGGCCCCTTCAGACAGTTGAGCACGTTGATTGCCGGCAGGGCGCGGTCCTCCAAGTCGCGCCGGCGCTCGAGGACGTTGCCCGATACGTGGGCGCGGCCGCGCATGAGGACCCGCGAACATACGCCTGCTGAACTGGGGGCACGCGCTGGATGGTCGCGCTCTTTCTCCTCACGGCAGCCGGGGATTCCCGATGGACTGGGGCGCGGTGAAGGTACCGGCAGGTGGCCAGGTCTCGGGAGTGCATGGGAGAGCATGAGCACATGTTGCGTTCGGACGCCCAGCTCGGATAGCGCGCGCGCTCAGCCGCCACGTCGCCCCTGATTTCGCCGTCCGCGGCCTCTGAGGCCACCGCTGGAAAGGCTGCCGCATAGACATCGCAATCGCGAACATAGTTCGCCTTGTGCAGTCGTCGCA